TAATATATATATAGTAGTATATATATATATATATATATATATATATATATATATATACGTATATGCGCACCGAAGAATGAGGCAATACGTATAGGATCTAATATGGTCAAGGTAAATATAGAATGTCAATTTCAAATCTGCAGTTAAAACCACACAGAACATAATTTTATTCACTAGGCCTATATTGATTCGGTGTCCAAATTAAGAACCGAATCTAGCCGGATTCTGCTTCCTCGTAAATTAACAAACATGTTAATTTCCGTCGTTTACGAATAATTCCAGGAACAAAAATGTTCTCATCAAACGGCAAAATATAACCTATGCCAAATAACATCTCCGAGTCATATCAGAAACAGGTTATAGTTGTCCCAATATGATTACAAAAATGCCAAGACGCCAACTTCGACACCACATTACAATAGCCAAAGTCGAGCTAGCTCTGCATCCAGTAAGCATGCGATTTATGTTTATATTATCGGTTTACCGCACCAGGGCCGTAGCTAGCAGGGGGCAGGGGAGCAGCTGCCCCCCCCACGCCAAAAAAAACCTGTGAAGAATAATAGGAACTTAAGATTAGAAAATACTCGCTTAACCATTTGGGGAGTTTTAGGTATGTAACCTACCTGAAATGGCTGGAAATGGCATTTCAGAGCTTCTATATTTCAAAAATTTATATATATATATATATATCACTGTATATGTATATATATATAGTATATATCTGTAGTGATATACGTTTAATATCACGTAATTAAATCATATATCAGGGTTCAGACGGATATATGCGCCGTTTCAATGTATGTTGACTATTATAGGTTAGTGTCCAATGTGTATATGCGTGCGTGTCTATAGAGTTCACGTGCATGGTTACATACTTGTGGTGTGCGTGTGTGTGCGTGTGTGTGCGTATATACGTGTGCGTGCGTGTGTACATATGTGTACGTGTGTGTCTGTGCGCGAGCGCGCGTGTAAATGCGTGCGTACGTCTGTGTGCGTGAGCGTAAATAACGATTCATTTCTATCAGTAAGTCAATATGCCATCATAAATGTCTGTGACCTGGTACATAAATATGAGAAGAAATAGTACGACCGGACCTGATGTATAATGTACAAAAGAACGTTGGGCGTACTGAGCCATGCAATATGGCACGCTGAAACGGCAAGTATATATACGCCGGCGTTTGTATAGTAATCGAAACACAAATCGATAGAACGCTAGGATGCTATATATAAGCAGTGCGAGTATGTTTCGTTGAAGACTATGCTTTTTATAGATTCATTTGTGTTACGAGCGTCATGAGTCTTCTAGGCGCTGTGGAATGCTGACTGTATATACACGCTATATAAACTAGCCCGCTGAGGTGCTAGCTTCGACATATGATGTATCACTGTTAGCCGTGTGTCAATTGGTTATTATATGGACCGGTTGCAGGACCATTACCTTTGCAATCAATCAATGTGCTAATTGTTTTCACGGGGAATGCACCTGCATGGCCTACGTATTTGCAAACACCGCCGCTGTGTACCTAAACCCTTTATAACATCAACGCCCGCGAATAGCTGCACGAATTAGATTTTCCAGCATTAACACGTGCCGTGTAATAGATTTTTCTTAATATGATTGTGATGTGAATAACTGAGACATGCATGTATGAAGTAGCTCGCTTATTTATTGCTCACACGATGGTTACTAGTATATATAAAATGACCATGTAAATTTTTTATGCAAAGTACGTTTGTCTAAAAAACGTATTTTACTTAAAATGTAATTCCTTGTAACACTAAACACACCCCAAAAATTCATAGCAGTTAGGTTAGAATAATATACAATAAAATATTTTTTGGCATAATCTCATTTATTATGCATATCTCATATATCATACCGAGCCAAGCTTCAAATATAAGTGTTTGCTTACATCGACACGCTAACGGCAAACTAGGAAGTATAGAGCAGCAATTTAATAATAAAGAGTGGTTCAAAATCATAATTGTATTTTCATTTCTCACATTTTATCAACAGTATTTGCTATATTTACACATAATCGCAGCACCATGGTCATGACTCATACGTACAAAAATACGCAACATTGCGCATTACAATTTCTTGGTCTGCGTCATTGGTGGCTCCCTGCTGATCAGTTTATAACATTGTATCTGCAAGCATCCGCTTTAGAATTACTGCTTCAGTTCGCAGGTAAGCAACCTCTTGTTACATGTTGGGAAAATAGTAATGCGATAACATCAGGAGTCTATCAATATTGATAGACTCCTGATAACATCAAACTATATTTCTCCGAGGAAATAAAAGAACAGATTCGTCGCACTAGGACTTGGAGAAGCGTGGAAGGGTTTCAAAACCACTACGAAGAACAGTTCGTGTCAGCTAAGGTCACCCGAGGAAAAAAAGAAAAGCAAGAACGAGTCAAAATTGGCAAGAGACTTTACGACCGCTGGATAAAACTGAAGGTTGATAAGCCGGCAGAATAAAGGTTCTGAACGTTACCGCTTAACGCTAAAACCGCCGTTCAAAGACAACCGCAGAAAGATAAAACTGAATGAGCGAAAGAACAGTGCATATATATATATAGAGCTCGAGTCAGCGCCTGCACCTAAATAGCCCAATGAAAGCCTATGAAGTTGTGCGGAAACTGAAGAAAGACTGTAGACGAAGCCAGTGAAACACGACGGATCGTGAAGGAGGACAGTTATCTAACATGGATGACGTCATCAGACGACATGACGAGTACTCAGGTGAGTTGCACAGTCACGGGACCAAGTGACGGAGAGTAGCAAGGCGCGCAAGTTTAATAGCTCTTTTATAGCGTTATATATACCCCCCCCCCCTTGATATCTATTTCATATCTAACCCCCCTTGATATCTAATTTATATCGATCCGCTCACCCCCTTTATATCTCTTTTATAGCACGACATTAATGACATTAAAGTTGGGAACGCTCCTAATGGAGCATCACCCGAAACATTGGCGAACCTTATGAAATCCTTGATCATCGCGGATAGCATGGATCCAAGCACCATGGAAAGTGAGATTCGCGATGTCAACAAAATCCTGCCATCTAGTAAGACTTGCGGCTCATCCGATCAAGCATAGTAGCGACTTGCAACCCAGTTCTTATACTGGACTCTGTAATACGATCTTTCATGAGACAACCTTGTTACGTGAGCACTGTCGCTAATCAATGTTCATGCAGATCTTTAAAATTATTACGCTCAGCTGTGACGAGCATTGACCAATATCTTGTATCAGTGATTCAAGAAGGATGCCCCCCCCCGCGAGTGCGTTTTAGACGTGTGTCATCAAGCGCTGAATTCGCAGGGAGGCAGATAAGCTTCAGGAAGAGTGTCGGCACCGGGAGCCAAGTGTTCCACATCCATATTATCATGTCGAAGGTATAGGGAATATAACCAATCACCACTTATGCGTTCGTAGGCCATACGAAGCCGTATGACTCACGCCAAAAGTATCGATAACTACATCAATCGGTGAATCTAATCATTTGGTACCGTTTTAAAATTTTCAATCCACGATTATTTCCTAAAGCAATGCGTCTATTAGGTGTTATTACGGTATTCCATGAGGTTAATGCACATTCAAAACGATGATCAATGAAATTGCGAACGTATCGAGTGTGTATGTTACAACGTTTAAAACAATTCTTTTTATACATTTGATGGTTAATGAAGCCATAGGACAGATGATTGTGCGCAGGGCCGTAGCTAGGAATTAATGTATAGGCGTGGGGGGTAAGATTAACGAGCGCTGGAGGCGCTCACTTCTAGGGGTGGGGGCCTGCTCCCAGGAAACGTAGAAAAATGTAATAGCGTGTTAAATTTTAATCAGCAAACTTTCGAGAATTATCTCTCTTCATTAGCTAGGCTATAAAATGACAACCATATAAATAAAATGATATCAAGAGCTAATAATACCTATTATACGTAATTATATAACCTATATATCGTAATATAATCTATTGTACCTAATAATACCTATTAGGTATTATTAGCTCTTGATAATATATATATATATTTATTTATATATTTAATATAATTAATATGTCTGGAACCAGTCAACATTTACGGGGCGACCCGTAAATGGCGCTCGTGTGCTTGCGTCCCTTTATCCAAGCAACTATATAGATCTGATCATGCAAGTCCATGTTTGTCCTCCGTGCATGCTGGCCACCATGCATAGAGAAGATGATCGCACCAGATCGTTGTGAAACGTCCGCGAGCTGTTTGTACAGCCTCTTCACACTCTCTTTGTGTAACGCGACTCGTGTTGACGTTGTCGCCCGGGTTGTTTACAAGCTGCGTCTCAGTACCACCACCACCACACGCCGCGCGAGCAGGCGCGCAAGAGCGCAGCGGCCCACCACCAACTTGTCACGGGCGTGTCAATCTATCTGAGAGATCGCTATAACAACAGTCCTGTCCGCGCTATCAGCGTGACAACCATCTCCCGTAAACACCGACAGCGAATACAAAAAGCCATAAGTGCTCGCTTGCACGTGTGAGAGCCGAAGAAAGAGGGTGGTCCGTGCTGGCCTTATACGCAACTCGAAAGTAGAGTCCTCGCCAATATTGCGTCAGTCGTTTCTCTCCCTTTACTCTTTAGCTCGACGCGTACGTCGCATTGTACATTGTACGCCTTTTCCTAAACAAACACGATCAGATAACGCGGATGATCTCGCAATCACACACACACACACACACACACACACACACTCGAGCAGCGATCAAGTGTTTCAGTTGAAGGCCACCCTATACCAGCACCCCTTAGTGACTCTAGTGGTCAGTTCCAAGTGCAACCTGAAGATTAGTTCACAAAGCGACGTGTCATTCTGCCGTCTGGTCCCACTGGTACGCGATACAGAGTGGATCATGGCGGTCAATCTGGCGCACGTTATTTTGTGTGTCTGCACGATAGGGGCTGTTTTGTGTTTAAGCGAGTACGATTTCTATCCGTATGGACCAGGTAGAGACCATCGCTTAGAAGACCACGATGAAGCCAGTTCCGACGAAATTCCCCTTAGGACAAGAATTGTATTTTTCGATAGGCCCCATCGGAGTCTTTTCGTAAGTATATAATCGGTTGTCACGTTCGATCTTATATGGTCCGATATGAATATATATATATATATATAGATTTATATCGGACCATATATAGTTGTATATAGATAGATACTTGTAGATAGATACATAATTATATATATATTTGACGCGATAACACACCAACCACAGGTAGGCTAGCTACCTACACCCCGATCAATCGTGTGATATACCTGACACGTAATTAAACTTAACAACGTAACGCGCATGCGTCGTACATACCATTTGAAATGTCGCAATGACCTTCATTGTATATACAGTATATTTGTACATAAGTCTATAAACCCACTGGTAGTTGTACAAATTAACGATTTCGATTTGTGTGTTCGCTCGTGAGTAAATTGACATAGCTTTCATTAATATTTTATCATTTTACTGAAATTAAATGATGTAGGTGTGCACGCGTAATTTCAGACGTAGACACTCATTAGCTATTTATACCTCGGGCTATTTATACTTGCCATGATGCTGTGGGATTATCCAGAGAGTTAGCAATTCCGCAGAAAAATTGCCCAGCTAGCGTCGAACTGATAGTAATTAAACTGCCATGCTATACGTTTCCGTACGTCACTTAACACATAACGTACGTTATAGGGCAAGTCAAAGAGTTTGCGCACAGCACTCAGGCATTGAAAAGCAAATAAGATAGTCATTGATTTCACTGTTTTTTAATCTAATGTTGGATATCTGCAAAGAGAATAACCACAATAATTTATATGTTATTTGACCTTGGGATGATTATGTAATTATAAAAAAATTGTGCGTTACGTATTGGACCGCAAGGGGACCTTCTCTTGGACTTGCCCTATACACGATGTACATTTTTTATTATAAAAAAATGTCTTATTTTATATCGTAACGTACGTTATACAGGATGTACGTTTTTTATTAGAAAAAATTATCTTATTTGATCTCGTAACGTGCGTTATATAGGACGTGTGTTTTTTTACAGAAAAATTCGTCTTATTTCATCTCGCTTTCATGATATTACACGGAGCAAATGTATACAAATACGTGAAATACTAGCCATACTGGCGACATAGCTGGAAGCGGATTTCTATCCAGTATATATACTCGTTTAAAAAATCTACTGTATCAGACAATTTCACGAACAACTATAATTGTAGCCCGACACACCTATGAGCCTATAGCGACAAGTTACCTTCTCGCTTAATTTCTCACTACGTGGCGAGAACAACTATAAACTACATGGGGAGAACTAGAGTCCCTGTATACAGAGAGTTGCGCCATGACGAGTCGGAAAAAATCGGTCACGTGATCGCTGGACGGCATGTTGTTTCCAAATTGATCCACACCGCTGCCGCTTAAGTACAGCGCTGTATGGATACGCTGTACAATGGTCCGTAGTAATTAATTAGACTAATCGTGCTTCAATAAACTCAAAATTTACAGAGATTATAGCTAAGACATGTGTCTACGTGTATCTAGATTTCTAGAACTGCAAAACACATGTTACAGCTGCGAGCGAGTGGAGAGTGGAACGCATTTATATTGTGAATTACAGTTGTCATTATTCTTCCAAAATGACTAGCTGCTGTGTTTACACTAAGAAATTGTACAATTAAGCTATCATATGGCGCGAACGATTTGAGTTACTTTTCTAGAAATCTAGATACATATAAACACATGTGTTATCTATGATCTCTGTGATTCTTGAGTTTATTGAAGCGCGAGTGATTTAATTAATTAGCAAGTATCTACGCGCGGTATCGCACAGGTTAATATACGCACGGCTATGGGCGGTAAGAAAGTGTACAATTAAACTATCATATGGCGCGAACGATTTGAGTTACATTTCTAGAAATCTAGATACACATAGACACATGTCTTAGCTATAATCTCTGTAAATTTTGAGTTTATTGAAGAACGATTAGTCTAATTAATTACTACGGACCATTGTACAGCGTATCCATACAGCGCTGTACTTAAGCGCCAGCGGTGTGGATACATTTGGAAACAACATGGAGTCAAATCCTGAGTTGGCGCAACTCTCTGTATATAGGGACCCTAGGGAGAACTCTCCTACGACGTGAAACAGTCGTAGAGACTGGTCGGGGTACTGTCTAGCTCGAGTACTATACCCCTTGTTGCCACAGGCCTGTGCTAGCCAGGGTTATAGTACTATAGAGCTATAGCTCACAGGCATTTGGGACAGAGTCAGTAAAAACTGAAAATAATATGAACGCAGATTCTCAAATACTACCTCTCAATTACACTTCCACTGCTGTGTCACTATATATCAACTTTCTTTCACAAAAACTAATGCAGAACGCTCCCGCACTCGCCGCTGCGAGTGTGCTGTGTCGCCATTATAATGCATATATATTGATATAGATATATATATATTCTATATATATTCTTCTATTCTATATATATTCTCTATATATATTCATTATAATGGCGACACAGCACACTCGTAGCGGCGAGTTCGGCAGCGTTCTGCATTAGTTTTTGTGAAAGAAAGTTGATATATAGTGACACAACAGTGGAAGTGTAATTGAGAGGTCGTATTTGTGAATGTGCGTTCATATTATTTTCTGTTTTTACTGACTCTGTCCCAAGTGCCTGTGAGCTAAGGTGCTGTCAGACCAAACGCGCGCATATACGCGCAATGCGACGCGCGCTATACGTGACTGATTAATAAAGCCTTTCAATTAATTAGTTGATGCGAAACTCGCTGCCTGTATACGCTGCAGGACATCGTCGTGACGCGCTCCGCGCGTGCTGTATTCTCAACATGTTTTGCATGCATCTATGACAAATACGCATATATGCTCTCCTATGACACTATTATTTTGTCATATGAAGATTCTTCCTATGACAAATATCGGCGAGTCAACTTCGTTCCGCTTTACAGCTGAAATTCACTGCTTGCGTTCATAATAGCGCTCCTAAACTCCTATGATGCGCACAACACATACAACAATACCCTACCCTGCCATTCTCTCTCTCTCTCTCTCTCTCTCCTCTCTCTCTCTCTATCTTCTCTCTCCTCTCTACACACTCACATATATACTATATATATATATATATAATATTAATTTTCACACACACACAACACACACACACACACACACACACACACCACACAACACACCACACACACACCACACACACACACACAACAACACACACACACAACACACACACACATCACAACACACAACAAACACACAACAAAACTACACCCACCACCATAGTATATATACATTACTACAAGTATTGTATGGTTTATGTCGTCCTTATTCGTATTATATAAATGTATATATTCAGGCTCGCGCCTATAAGAATTCATTCGCGGTTTATCGACTTTTCCTCCAACTAATATCGCTTAACAATTTTCATATTATTATTAATTTTAATTTTTTTGAGACATTATTAGTCACAACACATAACACCCAGTCCCCCCCCCCCGCCCACACACACACGCGCGCCATAACTACACAGAACACACAACCCTCCTCCGTTACACAGCATTACCAGAAGGCACAGTACGCAGACACACACACATCCACACAACACACACACCACACACACACACACACACAACACAGACACACAACACACACACACACACACAATACACACGCACAGACAGACGAGATACGTTTGTATACGTATACACCCATAAATATGCTTGTGCATCGTGAAACTACTGACTCTACCTGCGTGTCTGTATCGTTCTACATTGCCATATATATATAGTATACCATCTATACAGCATGTATATATATATAATATTCTGCCAGTCCATGCTCTATAGAAAGAAACGTCGGTCGCCTGTCTTTGCACCTCCCCGCTGACTTATTATACCCGACCAAGAACGCTCATGAACAATCACTGCACATGAGTCACGGAGAAAGTTATGTAAATATGCGCGTGTTAAAATCAGTGCGCCATGTTCGCTTATCACCAAGTCTCAAGTCTCGTCTCATCGAGGTCTCTGCCGCCCGTCGCGGAGACGCACATGGCCATATCGCAAGAGTCACGCGTGGGTGGGAGGAGGGTCGACTACGTCTATATACACCACGTCAAGCCAGAGATACAAATCATGTTCTGCACTGATACTATTGACAAATACGCATATTACCTCTCCTAATACACTATTGGTCATAGAAGATCTTCCTAGACAAAATTGTTCGTATGTTTCCGTGCCCCATCATAGGACCTTAGGGAGCCTATTATTGAACGCAAGCAGTGGAATTTAGCTGCTTAAAGCGAACGAAGTACTCGCCGATATTTGTCATAGAAGAATCTTCCATATAGGTCCAAAAAATATGTCATAGAGAGAGCATATATTGCTATTTGCATAGTATGCATGCACAAACATGCTGCGAATACAGCACCCGAAGCGCTCGTCACCGACGATGTCCTGCCAGCGTATACAGCGCGAGTTTCGCCATCAACTAATAATTGAAAGGTTTATAATTCACACGTTAAGCGCGCGCGCATTGCGCGTAATCATGCGCCGCAGTCTTGCCGTCTGACAGCACCTAGCTCACATCGCACTTGCGGACAGATCAGTAAAAACAAGAAATAATATGAACGCACATTCACAAATACACCTCTCATACCACGTACTTCACCTGTTGTCACTACAATATCACTTTCTTTCACAAAATACCTAATGCAGAACGCTGCGCCAACACTCCGCTACGATGCTGCTTGTCCCCATTTATAATGAATATACTATATGGGGGGGGGGGAATAATATAATAGAAATAGGAAATATGATTATAGACATATTATATATATCTATCATCTATATATAATGCTTATAATGGCGACACAGCACACTCGCAGACGCGTACGACGTTCTGCATTATTTTTGTCAAAGAAAGTGATATTATATGACACAGCAGTGGCAAGTGTAACTGAGAGGTAGTATTTTGTGAATTCTTCATACTTATTTTCGTTCTTTACTGATCTCTTTCCTAACTGCTTGATCTATAGCTCTTAGTAGCTATACATCCTGGCTAGCACAGGCCTGTGCAACAAGGCGTATATACATCACTAGACAGTACCCCGACCATCTCTCTACGACTGTTTCACGTCTTCAGTGGAGTTACTCCCATGTAGTTTATAGTTGTTCTTGCCACGTAGTGAATAATTTAAGCGAAAGTGTAACTCCTGTCCTATAGGCTCATAGGTGGCGTGCTCACAATTATAATGTTCGTGAAATTGTCTGATATCAGTAGATAAGTTTATAACGAGTATATATACTGGATAGAAATTCGCTTCAGCTATATGTCGCAGTAATGGCTAGGTATTTCACGTATTTCTATACATTTGTCCGCCAAAACAGATAAGCGAGATAAATAAGGATAATTTCTAATAACAAACTTACATCCTGATATAACGTACTTTACGATATAAATAAGACATTTTTTCTAATAAAAAATGTACATCGTGTATAGCAAGTCCAAGAGCGTCCCTTGCGGTCCAATACGCTAAACGCACAAGTTTTATACATTACATATCTCCCAAGGTCAAATAACATATAACATTATTGTGGTTTATATCTCTTTGCAGATCACTCCAACATTGGATTTAAAAAAACAGAAATCAATGATCATCTAATTGCTTCTCATGCCTGACTGCCGTGCGCCAAACTCTTGGACTGCCTATAACGTACGTATGATGTTAATACGTACTAAACGTCTATACAGGCAAGTTTAATTACTTATCAGTTCGACGCTAGCTGGGCAATTTTCTGCGAATCTCTAACTCTCTGGATAATCCCACAGCCATCATGGCAAGATATAAAGTAGCCCCGAGTATAAATAGCTAATTAGTTCTACGTCTAAATTACGCACGTGCCACACCACATACATTTAATTCAGTAAAATGAAAATATTAATGAAACTGAATTGGTTCAATATTACTCACGACGCAAACACAATCAAATCTTTAATTGTTACACACTACCAGTGGTTTATAGACTTATGTACAAATATAACTTATTAAATGAACGTCATTGCGACATCTTCAATGTAATTAACGACCATGCGCATTACGTTGTTCAGGTTTAATTACGTCACGTATCACCACGATATCGGTTAGTACTAGCCATACTGTGTTGTTGTCAGCGCGTCAAACTATATATATATTATTTATATCTATCTATATACAACTATATATGTCCGATATAAATCACTTATATAATATTATATATTATATATATTCATATCGACCATATATATATCTGTGCAAAGTCGACAACCGATTATATTACTTACGAAAGCTCCGATGGGGGCTATCAAATAATACAAATTCTTTCCTAATGGAATTCGTTCGAACTGGACTTCATCGTCGTCTTCTAACCCGATCTCACCTCGCCATACGACTAGAAATGCGCCTACTCGCTTAAACATCAAAACAGCCTACGTGCCAGACACACAATAATAACGTGCGCCAAACATTGACCGCATACCACTCTGTATCGCTACAGGGACCAGACGGCAGATTGAACACGTCGCTTGTAACCTAATCTTCACGGTTCCACTTGCGAACTGACCACTAAGATCACTAAGGTGGTCGCGGGGCTCGTTATAGGCGTGCCTTCAAACTGAAACACCTGATCGTCTCCTCGGAGTTGATGTGTCGTGTTGTGTTGTCGTGTGGTGTCTGTGTGGGTGGTGTGTGTTGTGTTTGTGTGTGTTGATGCCGAATCAATCCAGCGTTCTATCTATCGTTGTTAGAAAAGATACATGATACAATTGCGACTACCGTCAGCATAAAGAGTAAAGGGGAGAGAACACTGACGCAATATTGGCGAGACTATACTTTATGGTATAATCCATCACGACCACCCTCTTCTTCGACTCTCACAGTGCAAGCGGAGCACTTAGCTTTATGGTATCGCTGTCCGTGTTTACGCGAAATGTTGTCACGCTGATAGCGCGACGACTCGTTTTATACGACTCTCAGATAGATACACGTCCCGTCAACGTGCGGCCGCTGCGCTCTCGCGCCTGTCGCGCCGGCGTTATGTGCTGCTGTACTGAGACGCAGCTTGCCTCACCAACAACCCGCGCGACAACCTTCAACACATCGCGTTTACACTAAAGAGCAGTGTGAGGGACTGTACAAACAGCTCGCGGTCACGTTCACAACATTCTGTCGATCATTTCTCTATTGCATTGCCAGATGACGGAGACAACCAATGCTTGCTATATCCACATATACTATAGTTGCTTGCATAAGGGACGCAAGCACACGCGCCCATTTACGGTTCGCCGTAAAATTAATGTCGACTGTTCACAGACATATTAATTATTATGAAATATATAAATATATATATATATACTCTACTATTATTATCAATACTAATACATACCTATATAGGTATTCCATTAGTACTCAATACGTTATAACAATATATTATATAATTAGTATAATAGCGTATTATTAGCCTCTATATCATTTTATTCTATGATGTTTCATTTTATAGCCTACGCTAATCAAGAGAATAATTCTCGAAAGCTTGCTGATTAAATTTTAACAACGCTTTACATTTTTTCTCTTATTTATATATATATATATATCACTCTATATATAATATACTCAGTATATATCGTAGTATATAATTTAATATCACGTAATTAATCATATTATCAGGTTCGACGGATATATGCCTTTTACTCGCTTCAAAGTTTGTGACTATTATAGTTAGGTCCAATTGATACTATTGCGTCCATCAATTCCACGGCTGCAATCGTAAACTTGGTCGTGTTGTCTGCTATATACTGCGTGCGTCGTGACATGTTACGGTCTTGTCGCGGAGGAGGTGGACC